GAGAGAGGGACTGGCCCAAGGTCACCCAGCTGGCTTTGTGCCTAGGTGGGACTAGAACTCAACAGTCTCCTGGTTTCTAATCTGGTGCCTTAACCACTACACCAAACTGGCTCTCTTCTGCATGACTACTTTTGAAATATTTAAAGGCTGCTATCTTGCCTCCTCTTTATCTTCTCCTGGGCTAAGCAGCATGTTGGGTAAAAAATTGGAAAAAATGCTTTTGGGTATGCATGGGGTGCAAATGCACAGCTGTCTTCAACAGGTGCTATGTTTGTGTTCCTGCAGACTCCAGAGCTCTTTTTTGGAACTGAATTTGAAGCACTGCATAGCCCTATTATTTATAGCAAGGAGTTCTACGTATCCTTCCTGGAGGAGAGGCAGGATATAAATCTAATGATTTCCACTGTTCTACATAGAATGTGGTCTTCCAACTACCTCGCCCTCATTTTTGCCCTTCTACAATTTGTCAACACCCTTCTTAAAACATGGTGCTTCAAAGTGGACATGGTGTTCAAAATCTGGCCTGCAAAATGCAGAGCAGAGTGGAATGATTAGTTCTGGGCACTATGTTCCACATTGCAAACTATGGTTGCATCAACATCTTTGTCTTTAGCATGCTCCTACAACCTTTACATACAAACTACACCAAGGCTGTTACAACTTGTTACAACTTGATGTCTTGTGCTAAGACATACAAGAGACTGAACTTTGTTAAATTTTATCTGGCTGATTTTGGGCCATTCTTCAAGTTTGCCAAGATCCTTCTGAATCTTCATGCTGTCAATAGCAGTCACAATTCTCTCTGAGTGATCTACATGTTTGATAAACAATCCCTCTATACCTTTATCCCAATCATTTATTAAAATGTGAAGCATGAGCAGATAGGACAGTGTGATTTCCCAATAGTTTCATATAAAGATATTAAATGCATATAGAGATATTTAACCAACTGTAGATATACCTGATGTTCTTGCAATACCCTATCTATATTTTACCATCTGATCAACATAGTGTCAGACTCTTTGACAGCTGCATAAAACTGAAAGGGGTTCTTTCTAAGCATGATTCTCACAGAGTCTTTCTAGCAAGGTTTATTGAGAAGAAAGAGCTGGGGTTATGAGAATTCCAGCAACTTAAGTACTTCCTCTTTAGAACAAATGAATCTCAATGAGCACTAAGATGAAGACTTTCTGATTCTCTTTCTAATGGCTTCTGATACTCCAGAAGGGAGGCAGGTCTCTTTATTATAACAGAGAAGCTCCAAATGGTTCTTGTTAACACAACAGTCTCCCAAATAATCTGTATCAGTCTGGGAACCACTGCTTACAAATGGACATTATGTCATACATTATCAAATGGTTCTCTGATGGAATTCTCTGACCCTGAGAATGGATGTTTCCAAAACAGTGAAAAACAAGAACATTTTTGTGGTATCAGCAAAGCAGTTAGCATCTTCCCCATTGAACCAAGACTTAGGTATAAAGAGGATCAAAGCCAATAGAGAGGCTCCACCTTAAAGTACTCACAGATAAATGAAGGCCATGACACATTTCCAAGGTTACCTAACCCCTTTTCTTCTTGCAGTAAACCTGCCTATTCTGAATCTGTGAGTATCTTGCTTTCTCAGTTGTGAGCTGCCTGGTGTGAGGAAGGGTTCTTATAGATTATTTTCTAGAAGTTCAAAGGTAAATTGCTTTGTAATCTGTCCTAGAATTTTGTCCAGCACAGCCACCAGGCTGAGAATCTTCCATAATGTTTTATGGACTCCAAGAGGGGCTTTGTTTGGCAAGTAACTCTTTATGTGATGTTGGGCCCACCACACACAGAGCTTTATATTGGCTGTGCACCTTCAATGACTTAGACAATATCCTGATTCTCTTAGTGTCCTATGAGTTCCACCACTGCTTACAACCTCTCTACCCTTTGTTTTCATGCTGTTCCTTGCAAGCCATCTCCTTTGAGTCTTCTTTCAAAAGGGCCATCTATTACTCAGTTAAATACTTTTGATTTTTCTTAATTACTTGAATACCATAGCATTCCTTTTTCCAACATTTCTTCCACCAGAGATACAAGCATGGTCATGGAATCAATGAGCTGGAAGAAAAATCATTTGGGCCATCAAGTTCTGCCTCTTCTCAGTGGACCATGTTGTCCTCTGAAAGAAAATTCTAGTAGCAAATACCCAAAGATCACTGGTAGAGCATTCACTACTATCTCTAGAAGATTCTACCACCTTCTCTGCTAAAGATTTTCCTGACTACCTTGCTAATTCCTCACATTTACATTATGTGGATTCAAAGACTGCAAGGAAGCATCTTGAAGTAATTAACTGGGTTTAGCTTCTGAGAGTATTAAAACTAATTAAGAGTAATACTATTAAGATGATAAACTTAACAAATTCTAGACTTTGGGTAAATGCCATAATTTTTTTCAGAAGGCTCTGAAAAAAAATATAAAGCATTGCTCTTGGTTTTAAAGTGCAGAAACTCTGAAGAAGGTATGTCCTAGGCTCAATAATACAATTTGTTATATTTTGAAAACACATACATGTCCTGCACCTCCTTTTGCAAGATTGGTTTGTACTAGGCGGGCCACCTTTCTCTTGGCATGTATTACAACTATGCTGGTCATCCCTAGAATCAGGAGTTTCTGTTACATATCCACTTACAAAGTAAAGACCTGATTCCACTCTGGGTTGAGGTTTTTGTAAACGGTGTAACTCTGAAGTCTGCTGTTCCCTAACTCCAGTACGCAGAAGGGATCGCTTTTGCCTACAGAAACAAACCAAAATATATTAGGTTCAAGAATTTGATCAATGAAGAGAAGCTTGCCAATATTCTGGTGAACTACTAGAGAGACTGTTCTCTTTGTTTCAGACTCTCCTTTATGGAAATGCATTTGTTTGAGATGCAAAAGTCATCTGCTAGAAAAATATTGCGAGGTTCTGCTCAGCTAAGAAAGGACTGTGTGTGTGTCTTCAAGTCAGTGTTGACTCCGGCGACTGCCTGAATGAGTCCCTGCAGTTTTCTTGGCAAGGTTTTTTGGAAGTGGTTTGCCCTGGCCTCCTTCCTAGGGCTGAGAGAGAGGGATTGGCCCAAGGCCATCCCGATAGCTTTGTACCCAAGGCAGGACTAGAACTCATGGTCTCCTGGTTTCTAGCCTGATGCCTTAACCACTACACCAAAATGGCTGTTTAACAAAGGACTAGGTGAGGGCAAATGGAAACCCCTGCAGGAAAGCAGAATCTCCTTTGAATCAAGTTCAACTCCTGGTGCCTACAAGGCCTGGTAGTTTTCTTGGCAACAATACAGAATTTGCCTTTGTTTTCTTCCAAGTGGTTTGACTTCCTTCTGTAATCTATAGGTCTAATCTATAGGACCCAATATCATGGGAGCTGTTATGTAATTTAGAGACCAGTCAGCTTCAGCCATGGAAGCTCACACAGGAAATTTACTTATTTATTAGATTTATAGTCTATTACCTATCTTACTGCTAATGAAAACAAAACTTGAGGGAGAATGGGATGAGTTCCTGGAGGAAAAGCAAGATACAGGACTAACAAAGAAATATGAATAAAACAGCAAAGCTTGATTTAGGTCTGACCAAAAAGAGATCCTCTAGTCTGAACATCCCCGCTCAAATTTCAAAATGGAGCAGGCTAAATTTGGATTCACTAGTGAATTAAGCAGAACCAAGCCAGACTTCTCAGGAACTTCATTTTTCTTGTCCACTTTGTTCTTCCAAGAGTCACCTCAAAAGGATGGCTCCAGTACCAAGTGGCATTGAGACAAAAGAAAAGAAAAGGACTTGGAAAAATTCTCTCACCACTAGAAAGTGAATGGCATCAGTGAGAAGTAAAATAACAACAGTCAAAGCATCTCTTCCAAAATTTCAGTCCAGGGTCTGAAATCAGAATACAAATAGAATCCCTGCAATACTAACATAACCCAGGATGATACTAAGTGGCACCTCTTTAGTTTTATATATATATAAAACTTTGCTGGCTGAGGTTATTTAAAAAAAATAGTTTTAGATAAGATAGGCAATGAAATGCCACTGTAGTGTTATAAAAAAATATATATTTTAGATAAGATAGACTATATGCAAAGTATTTCTTCTTGTTTAGGGAATGATTAATTTTAGAATCCTTGATTTTATTTTACAACATGAAATGGGTAGTAATGTTTGCTTAACTGACAATAGGAATATGAATCTAACATTTTTGCCACGTTTTATACTGAAATCATACATAACAGATACGTAAATCTGTTTTATAGGCACCCTTTATAAATGAATGCATGTGTGCATTTCCCCAGATATTATTTCATTCTCAGAACAAAAGATCAAGCACAAATTAACCACTATTTTAATTCACAGTCATGCTGAACATAGTGAAAGAGAAGTAAAAAAATAGGTACCTGAAAAATCTGCAGCCAACAGATCAACAGCTTTTAAAAGTTTGACTTGCAAGAATCCAAGATCCTTGATGTTTTGGAAAGAGTTCCTTAAACTCTGAAAAGGAAATAATGGTTAGAAAAACAATGCTTTGAAAGCTTTTATTTTACAGTTGATGTGTCAGCCTTTAAAAGCACTTTTTCCCAAGTCCAAATAACCAGTTCAATAAGTAGGCCTCATATTAAATCCTTCCGTTCCTCTTTTACTTTTTTCTAACATGCCAGTTCCTTAAATAAGAAACTCATGTCTAATTTCCTAGCAGTTCCATACTTACGCTGAAATATACTGTTTGCAAAAATTGCAAATCATAATTGCAGATGTCCATATATGTGTGTATGCATATGTATATGTTTGCATATACATTTTATTTATACACACACACACACACATAAATAAAACAACAGACTAATCCTAACGCTACAGGTATTGGAAGAGAAATTGTAGAACTGCCCTTTGGCTGAAAGCAATATTCTGTTTTCACAGAACTCTATGCTTTTTTGGCTTTTATTTTCACCACTCTTTACTCTGAAAGTGTGTAGAAACAGTAGAGTCACCTTTGAGTAAAGCTCAGAAGCTTGTGACTTTATATAACTTTTGTGGCAGCAACACAGAAGTGCTTTCCCACTGCCTTCTTCTGAGATGTTCCTTCTATTTAGGTTTTGCCCACGAATTCCCAGGGATTTCCCATCTAACCAGACCTGATCCTGCTAGGTTCTTGACAAGATCAGCTAGAGACTGCACCTAGGTGGGCAAAAATGGCTGTCACATTTTCTGTATCCTTTCTCACATGCATCCTTCCTCCAGGGGCAGGGTCAAAAACTGCAAGCTGCTTTTGTACACACAAAAGGAACGCGGCTTTGATCACAACGCCATGCCCGCCATCTCACAGATCTTGGCTCTGCCCCTGTGGATACCCCTGCTTAAGGAGAAAGGAAAAAAATATAACCATCCAAACTCACATAACGCTGGGAAATCTGCTTCCTTTCATTGGGGTCTCCCAGGGGACACACACACAAATCAGAGACAGAGACCCCATAGCAAGGTGCAACAGAGATCACCACCACCAAGAATCCAGGCTGTTTCTCCAGGGGCAATTCCAAGCGGTTGGCTTGTTTGTCAGGGAGTCCTCCAACATCGACTTTGCATCTAAACCAGTAACAGGCAAAAGAAAACACAGTTGCTTCATATCTTACATTGCTTAGAGTTATCCCTCTATTACAAAGTGATGAGTGCTTTATAACCTTCAGAGCAAGCAGTAGAGGCTTCTGCTGGACTGTATTACCTCAGAAGATATTTGGAGGGAGGAAGCTGAAACTACACCAGAATGAAAATATCCTACTATTTGGAGGGCTTACCATAGGACCCTAGAAAAAGAAATCTGGGCCTCTCCACTCTGAGACCAGCACCTTCCCCAATACCTGGCTCTTGAGCTGAGAGAGAGGAGCTGACCCAAAGTCCCTCCAGGGAGCTTCCATGCCAAAGAGAGGACTAAAACCTAGGTCTCTCTGCTCTTAGTCCAACACATGGACCAACTCCATAACTTCATGCATCTCTTGCATTCAGTCAACAAGTGCTGGAGTTTAGATGCTAAACCCCAGGAAGAAATCAAAAGGAATTCGGAGTTCTTGGGCATATGTTGATTTCAAGAACTAAACCAAATAAATATAGCAAATATATTGTGCTCGGGGAACCTTTGTCAACCAGGAGCTGCATTTCCCCTTTCAGCATTACCTGCAAGGCACAAAATGCCTGATTACTTGTCCCATCACCAAAATTGGTGGGCCCAAAATTTAAGGTTGTTTTTTTTTCCTGTTTTGGGCCATGTTTGTTTAGTTTAGTTTAGTTTTTTTTAAAAAGAGATTTATTTATCAACTTATATGCTGCCTCGGTTACCAGAGTAGCTCTAGGCTTAAGGCACATATTTTGCCTCTTACTCCAAAAAGGGAAAAATCATCTCAATATTTTTGGGGGGGAAGAGGGAAGATTTGTAAACGGTGTACTGCAAGATTTCTGATGGTCATTCCATGGTCTGTGGGTGCCATGGATCCCCAGATGTCCATCTGAGGTCACCAATGCCTCTTGAAATGGGCAAGGCTAAAAAATATTGGTGGGTGGAATTTATGAGGTGCCCTGCAACCCCCCAGGAGACAGCTACAACCTTCTCACTTCCTACTTCAAGGGACACAGCTCGTCATGCCTTCCTCCCCAGACACTATTAGTTCCTTTAATCCATGCACCCAAAACATTTCTTGGAGGAAAACACACTCCTGAACAAAGAACAAATGTTTCACAAAGTGGTGCTCAAAAAGAGCTAGTGACTTTTAAAGACAGAGCTCTTAATCAGCAACATTATAAAAACCAAAACTGGGGAAGTTTTCCATAGCAAGGAACACATTTTCCTGTATTAAGAACAAACAAATCAACAAATCAAGAGAACTAACATTAAACACACCTATTGGGGAATCTGCATATAAACTCTCCATAACTTTCAAGAAAAATGGTCTCTGAAAATGGATGTATTGTTTTTAAATAGACCCTGAAACTGATGGGCCCTAGTATTGATGCAGGTGACCAAAGGGGACTTAATTTTAGAAATGGGGCAGCCCCCCAGGAGAAGGTCTAAATGGGTCACTACCTATCTCAGCTTTCATGATGATGCACTCCAGAGAACTGCTTCCAGAAAGCAGCATTTGCCATTTTAAGAAAAATTGTGCATTTCTTTTAAAGATAGCCACAAAAACATTGAAGTCTTCAAAGGTGGATGAAAGGCAGGGAAGGAAGGAAGAGGGGTGGGGGGAATCCTTCTCAAATTTGTAGCCGTGAGAAGGCCAGTGGTGTGAGCACTCAAAGCTCTTTTATTTGGAAGCAAATGGAGCACAGCTTCCAAGGAACTCTGCAGATTTCAGCTCTTACAGAAGATAAATACTTGCAGCTTCAGATCCCTGCCGTGTATTCACAGGAGTCAAGTTTCTGGATGGGGAGAGAGAAATTGGAACAGATTTTGACAGCTGAAGGCCTGTTGAAAGGCTTTTATTTAAAGCAAGAACCTGTTAAGGTGTTGCCTAATTAGGAGGAGGAGGAGGAGGAGGATCATCTCCTGGTGGGCTTCTACTTGGGAAATGGAACATGCATTAATCCCAAACAGATCCCAGAGCCTGAACACTTGGCATCCATCTGTCATGAACTGCAAAGACTTTCCATTTCTAAATAGCTGGTTTTGGAGAAAAAAGGAAGGCACAAAACCCAAAGGCTTCAACAAATGACTTCCAAAAAGTTCTAAACGCTTCTTTTTCAAGTCTTCAGCCAAGAGAATGAAGCACCTCAAAACAAGAATCATTTCTTCATGGCTAACAAAGTCCATTCCACCTTCATCTCCGAATCTTGAATCCTGCATTGTCCGTTAGAGAGACACAAAATATGTTGAAAAGCTACTGACTCAATTTTGTGAAATATTGCTGTTTATACAGCTGGTAATTTAAAATAAACATTAAAAAGAAGGAATGAAAGAACTAAAATGAACATGAGGAACTGGTATTGCTAGATTCTTGTGGGTGGATATGAAATTAAAAATTCATTGGTTGTGACACTTGAACGTTACACTGCAGGGCACAGGGATAGGGAAAAAAGCAGGAATGTTGGGGGGGTTAAAAATGTGCATTATTTTGAATAAATGTTTGTGCATTTGGAGCTTCTTCTTATTGCTTAAGGTAGGCTGATTCCAAACTATCTTCCAGGGAATCTTAAGCTCCTCAGAAATGGCTATTTTGTCAAGAAAGAAAGCTGATTGTCCTTGGGTAGTTCATGACTAATTAAAGCTAAACTAGACTACTGCATTGCTTGCTGGGTGGGGCTGCCCTTATGAGACAATTCAGAGACTTCAATTGAAGTAGAAGGCAACCAGAGATGTCTGTTGGGGTTCATCAAGGGAGCATTTTATATCAATCCCATAACACTTATTCAGACTGCCGCTCTACTTGTGATGGATGGACTGCAGGATGTTCGTCAGCTTATACAGACAGCAGAAGCCCAAGAACGCCCTACAGGGCTGACTGATGACAACAATGATGATTCAATTACTACATTTTTATTATTATTTATTATTGTTATTTATATTCTTTATTTATTGAATTTACTGTCAGAGTTTTTTAAAATAGATACCACATAAAGCAATAAACTGACAAATTAACACATTAGAGATAGATATGGTGACAAACATTATTAACCTTCTAATCTCAACAGAAGTAGCCAAACCATCCAAGCCTAAGCATGATTCAACCCAGCATTTTCTGATAACAGTTGCAGTTGAGTAAAATTTGGCCAATTTCACATAAATTTTGATAGTTCAATCTGCTAGTAGAAAGCACACAATCTCTGTTTCAGGTCAACATATATATTTAGTAATGAGGGGAAGTATTAACCCAGAGCACCAAGCACGGTACAAGAGACCACACAGCAAGGGGTGCAAGATTGCCTTGATAATTTTGTCTGGGCAGAGACAGAGGTGTTCCAAACGTGGGATGTTATGGAACCGCCTCACCAACTTCTTCAAGGGTAAGGCATTACACCTCACTAGTACAAAGGCCTTCCTATGTGAGACAGAGTCTGCGTTAGAAATAGTTAGGAGTAGTGAAAGACCTACAATAGAGGTTGCCATAACAATTGTTTGAAGCTTTGGATCTCTCGTTCTGCGGGTCCAGTGAAGTACAATATCAGGAATCCCTGATTTCATTCATATCATTTCATTATCAGTGTCATCATTTAATTACTGGCATGCTTTGATTGTATATTTTTATTTACTTGACTGCACTGTTTAACTAAGGAATTGCAACTACAGTCAACATCAGCGGCCAAACAATTCCAGGGCATGGGTCCACTTAAAGTATATCACGACATGGTCATGCTTAAACCACAACTAATTGAATTGAACTGATTCAGAAGGAGGAGGAGGAGGAGGAGGAAGGGGGGAAAGGACTTTGCTAAGAGCCAAACACATCTTGAGTTTAATGTACAATCAAGCTGTTTAATTACTTGGGAGTCTAATTGTTTGCACAGTGATTATTTCTCCCTTCCTAAGCAATAGAATCATCCTTTTCCTTTCTTACTATTGGGTGAGGATTCAATAGAAGGCAAGGGAACCCAGCAGCAGCTGTTCAAAATGAAGAGCAGAGCACACCATAAACTCACCATGGTCATGCTTTCAAAACTGTTTCCCCATGGCGAGAGACTCCCACCCCAGTTCTAACAGTTTGCAACTATTTAACACCAGAATTGCTGCAACCATATTGTGTTTCACCAGACCTCTGCTGGTAAGAAGCCAGCCATACAGAACGGGAGTAGCGGGGAGAGGCAAAATCTCATAAAGCTAAGGAGGCAATTCGTTCAGGAACCCAGAGGAGACATCACAGAGAGTCGAAGGGGGAATCGTGCATGGTGGGAGTGGCCACTTGCAGAGGAGTCTGCGAAAGGGTGGGGGCTGAGGAGTTTGTGGCACCACCACCCTCATCAAGCCTGAGCAACTGAAACAAGTCCCAGGCTGAGAAATTCTGCATTTGTTATTAGTTCCTATTCTATTTGATGAAAGAGAAATTGCTCTTACAATTTCTTGCCAATAGAATTTCAGTAAAATTCTCATGGGCACAGAGTGATATCCCTGCACATATTTCACGGCAAGGTTGTTGAAGGATTTGTATGAATACCCTTTCTTTCATGGTACCATTCTCCCTCCAGCAGTCTGCAGCAGCCTGCCTGGCTTCCCACATTAAACCTCAAAGAAGCTTACACAAGGGAACTCCTCCCATGGACCTTTTCACAGCAGCTATCAACTAGAAGGAAGAATCCTGCCTTTAACAAACTGCTGAAGAATTTCCCCTCTCCATAAAGGAAGTTGGAGAAATTGTCCACCAAGTTGCTCTGTCCACTCATCAGACAGAGAATCTGAACGGCCCTTTTCATCCAGTTCTAATTCAGTCTAACCTTTATGGATCTGAGTTCCTTCCAATGTTTTGGACTACAAGGATTTTTGCCTCCAGCCATTGGTTCTGCCACTAGGGCTGATCAACACTGCTGTCCACAACCCAGTTGTGGAATTCTGACTCAGGTAGTCACCTCCTCTGCCAAGGAACCGCTGAAATGTGAGGGAATTGAAGTCCCATAAAAGCGTGTTTCTTTTTTCCCCATGCCATGCAGAGTTAAACTCTAGCATCTGCTGCTAAAAGAGATGGGGACAACACCAGTGTAGGAGACTGAAGAAGATTGTGGAGGACCAGACTATCAATGACTACAGTAGTCCTCACTTAACAACCACAATAGGGACAGGAAAATTCATTGTTAAGTGGGGCAGTTGTTAAGCGAGTCACACATAATTTTACAACCTTTTTTGCAGCAATCATTAAGAGAATCACCATGGCCGTTAAGCAAATCACATGGTCGTTAGGTGGATTACGCAGTTCCCCACTGATTTTG